TTCTTGGGACTTCCATATGATTTCTCGACGGATCGTGGTTGATGCTGTTGCTGTTTGGTCTTTTTGCGCCAGTGTTAAATGGACGTCCACACCACCAATCATTGCTTACGAAGTCAACGCTACCGTTTCGCGTCTGATTTTCATCAATTTGAATTGTGATGTTCAACTTCTGAATGATATTCTAATCATTTGTTTGTGGATTGTCGCGAACATTTCTCTTTGAAAAGTGTTATTCTGTTGAGAAGTAGTGTTATATTGGTAGTCTTGTTAAGTTAGCCTCAGTAAAAAAAAGAAGAAAGACAAGTGATCTCTACTCTTGTGGAAAGGAGGATTATATTGGAAGCTGAAATGACAGTGCCACAAATAATAATGGACAGTTTCTCATGACATAATTTAGGTTTCAAGACCTAAATCTCAGTCTTGTTTTTGATTATTGCGTCTGTGGGCATTTGAAGGATTTTGTTACTTTCTTGACTGTTTTATTAAAAAAGAAAATGCTTTGTATTGCTAGCGTCGGTGATTATATTATGGTTTAGGGTTGCGCCACAAATATCTGATTTGACCAGTTATTGTCTTTAATAAAAGCTCATTCATAGCAAGTATTAAATTCGTGCCACCATCCCCATCGTTTGAAGCTCAAGCGGCAATCCCATTGATCAGTTGATATTCATTGTTATGGTGTTTGTTTAAAACTTAAAAATTAACAATATCTTTGATCTCGTTCTTCGAATATGTTGTGAAGTGTTTTGTTCAGCGAGTCAAATTATAAATCACTTTATCATGATAACTTAAACCGTCTCAAAAGTTAATCATTTTCCGCTTTTGTTTAAAATTTATGAAAACATTATTGTTATGAAATAGTTGTTGAAGACTACCGTTTTGGCTGTTATATCATCTTTATGTTATTCAAATAATCTTCAATAATATGGTTGGTTATTTGGGTTTGTGGGACAGCATCTTGAGAGGACTAGATCATTCAATATTATTCCACATTGAAGTAGTGATGTTATTAATTGAATAATTGTTTGAATTATTACATGAAATGTTTGAAGCTTGTTAACATTCATCTAATATTTTTGACAATGATGTTTCTACCTGGCAAAATGGTTCGATTATTTAATATTGTTATCTGTGTGTTTCTATTGTGATTCCCATGGAGTTTTCTTTTTGGCCCATTTGTCTGAAAATTTGTCAAACAATGGTGTTCAGAGTGCTTTGTTGGTCTTTTCATATAACATATTCCCCAAGAATAGATTGCAGAAATCCAGCTTTAGAAAGTTTCAACACATTCTAATATGTTGATGACGTGGTTAGTAATTGTGTGGGTTTTGGTTTGTTTGTTGCTAAACGCGTTTCGATTAATAATCTGATCTGTTGTTAATTATGTTACAGTCGGGTTTATTTTATATTTTGGAATCGTCTTGGGTTATTTCTCTTTTATTGCTATTTTACATCAAAATCGTGGCAATAGCAACAATATTGTATATCCCGTCTTGTGGGTTTGAAGTAGCTGTTGACGCTGTTCATAATCAATGGAGGATCTTACATTGCTTGTTCTTTAACGTATGTGTTTTGTAAATCATTTGTTGTTATCATCAGATAGATTTTTGCAGTTTAAGTGTCTCTGGAGTTGTTTGGATAATCACGTAGTTTGGTTTTTATGTTTAAAGGCATCTGATTTGATCTCAAGATGAAGTATGAGGTTTACAGGCATTGGATCAGGAGGTCTTGTTATGATTTTTGTTCTTCATCTCTTTATGAAATGTTGGAAAGTCCACAATGGATCATCATAAGCCATTCTTCTTCTGTCCACATTATTTTTATCAGCCTTAGGTTCTTTGTCTCACTTTTTGTGAATCGTGTTATATTATTCAATTCTTTATTGCTAATTCTATCTATTAATAATGATTTGTTTGTTCTTGAGGACCGAGGTTTGCTGGGCTGTCAATTCATTCTCGTGTTCCCCACCTTGTTTCAACAGTTAACGTGTGTTTCTTGGATGTTCTTAACAGTGTTCGGTTCCACATTGGTGGACTGGATGTTGAAGTCCTGTTTATTTGGTGAATCGCCTTTCTTCAATATATGAAGCGGGATCTTGATAATACAACCCGAAGGCGGCAGTCGTAAACAGGCCGGATCTGCGGATTGGCTTGTTCAACGTTTGTTCATTATTTCATCAACTTCGCCATTCTGAAGCTGCTATCACCCCAGCTGGTTTGCTGTGCGAATCATATGACATGGTTCTCAGTTTTGTCCATTCCACAATTTAAAAACTTCCACTTATTTTTGTTAGCTGTTCTTGGGTCATTCCTGGTGGTGGTTGTCGGTTTGAGCGAATGGAAAGTTTGGATTCAATCCCAAACCTGGAAATCGCCAAAAGCCTGTTTGTTGGCGCCACCAGTGAGACTCTGACGAACTCTGTATACCTATTAAAGCCCTGGCGTAGTCATTTATTCGAAGCGTTTTGTTTCTTCTTACTGATCAATATATTTTTATTATATGTTTGTGAACTCAAATGAGAGGGTTCTTCGTCGTTACGATTGAAATTTGGAAGTTTTAAGTCTCTTTGTAAATTCCCAGTTTTTTTTTTTCACTGTAATCACTATTTCATTAATCCCCATATTAAGTGTTTAATTTATTAATTTGAAAGTTGCGGTTTATGGTTAAGGCATTCTGTCGACTAATGGTTTTGCTTTTACTGAAATGGAATCTAATGTTTTCTTTGATTTCTTATTTACGTAAATTCAATGCTGGTTTATTCTTATTATTATTATCATCTTAAATATTGTTGATTTGTATGTGTATGATCAATTGGGTTGCTTTTCCATTTCTTTCATTTCTCTTTCAACGCTTGCCAATTACTACGGTTTTGCTTTGTGACTGGTTCCCTGAGTTTTTCTCATTTCATCTACCATGTTGTAAACTGTTCTTTTTATTCACGTTTTATAACTTTGTGATATTATATATAATGTTTTCCATTTAACAAATTTCTTTTACGAAAAGAAAAAACTTTAGTTGGATCAATACCACAAGTTGTGTTGACAGTGATCAATCATTATCTCTACAGAGCAAGCATTACAAAAAGTCCCTTTGTTTGGGTTTGCTGGTTTTATTTATGGCATATTCACTGTTAATTGTTCCACATTCATTCAGTGTCTTCTACTTCAAATGGTTGTTGCTTTGGCTTGCTTTGTTTCCATGGTTTCTGTCTAATATTTGCTATCTTTCCCCAGTTCTTTCGGATTAGTTTTGTGTACTCAATTATTATTTATTATATGTATGTAATAAAATGGTAGTTAAATTTTTCTTTTTTGCTTTACTTTTTTTGTTACCTTTATTTTAAGATCAAATGATTTTGTTTCTTCTTTCTTTGATTTTTGTAAAATCATTACCATATTCAGTTAATCATTGGTTTATTTACTTTGGACAGTTGTCTTAAATTATTATAATAGGTCTACCATTTATGTTTTCTTTTCACTGGATGATTTCAGGTCGTCCACAAACTGATTCCTGGTAAATCAGTTTTAATATTTAGTCGAACTGTGTTTATCATTTCTCGGTTTCTAAGCTGATGATCATAACGTGACCTTTTCAATCAACTATTGTTTACATTGACAAATCATGTGATCATACTGGTTCTTTAAATGTTCCAAATCTTTTGTGTTTTATTTTATACATTTAATGGCGTGGGCTTTTTGGATCTCTAGGCATGGAAGATTAACTGGACGTGTAATCATTTGAGGGCTGAGGTCTTTGTGGTTTATGGACTGTTTATGTTTTTATTTTCTTATACCATCTCACATATATACCTCATTCAAGCAAGTAAGTCATTTATGTTTCTTTCTTTAGGGTTTCGAACCTCATTTGGTTGTTTGTTCTTTTACCATTGTTTTTAATATATTCCATTCTGATATGTTCGGTTTGGTGTCTCAAATTGATAACTATAACTCTTATCTGTATGGTAATGATCTGTCTTTAACTAAATTAAATCCATGGTTCCTTAATGTCATGATTTGTGTGTGGTTGAGACTTCAATGTTCACCGCGGGTTTTTATTTAACGTTCATTGATTCTTATTTGTTATTTGTTTCTTTATTTGCTTTACTGGGTGCAGTGGCTCATGCCTATAATCCCAGCATTTTGGGAGGCCAGTGAGGGTGGATCACCTGAGGTCAGGAGTTCGAGACCAGCCTGACCAACATGGCGAAACCCCATCTCTACTAAAAATACAAAAAGTAGCTGGGCATGGTGGTGCACACCTGTAGGCCCAGCTACTTGGGAGGCTGAGGTTGGAGAATTGCTTGAACCCAGGAGGCAGAGGTTGCAGTGAGCCAAGATCATGTCACTGCACTCTAGCCTGGGTAACAAAGACTCCTTCCCCAACCAAAAAAAAAATTTTTTTTTTTTTTTACACACTGGGATATTGCCCAAAGAAAAACACAATTATAAAGATCAAATTAAGTAACAGCTATGTCTCCGTGTTAACAGAAACCAAGCTAAAGAACCAATATCATACTTACTATTAAGTAAAATCTGTTTTAAAGTAAGTTTTTCTTCTAAAATGTCTAGAAGAAAGTTTAAGACACACAAATTTTAGCATACGATTAACTAAAAGTCAGTATTTGGAGTAATAGGAAAGTATCATCCAGTTAATTATGTTTAAGAAAAAAATGGGTTTCAAGTCACATACAATTATCAAAGTAACTTTTCTCCAACACTAAGCACAACAGAAGTAAACACATTTTATAAAGATTTCCTTTAAAATACTCCAATAAATAAACACAGGGTAGAGAACAAATGAAACTAATATTGGAAGAGGGGCACAAGCAAAAACGAAACTAATATTACAAAATGTTGATAATGATTATAGTTGAGTAATGGATACACAGAGTTCATTAAATTCTCTCTTCTATGTACAATTGGAATTTTCATAGTACAAATTTAATTTGAATTAAGAAAAAACTAGTTAAAACAAACTATTTAACTACCGCAAAAGGATACAGACATGACTCTTGACATCATTACGAAGTCCTTTACGAACAAATTCATAAGCTTCTTCTTTTTTTCCTAAACAGTTCAGTGTTAATCCTTTCATAGCCAAAGTCTCTGAAAAATAATTTTTAAACTCTATTTACAAATGACAGAAAATGATTATCTTAATAGTACTTTAATAGTTGAGATCTGAAGGATTACTATGGCTCCAATTCATCTTTTTAATCTCACAGTCTGAATTTCCCTCCAAGTAGAAAAAATAAAACTACATTTAAATAGCTACTTAAAGCTTAGCAGCCAAAGTCCTTCTCTGAAATTCCATAGTTTCCAAGTTGCTAAAATGGCTTCTGCCCTTCACAAGACTCTGTAAAAGTGGTTGACATTACTCTGCTGAAAAAATTAACAAAGCAGGCCAGGCGCAATGGCTCACACCTATAATCCCAGCACTTTGGGAGGCTGAGGCGGGTGGATCACCTGAGGTCAGAAGTTCGAGACTGGCCTGGCCAACACAGCAAAACCCCGTCTCTAATAAAAATTAGCCAGGCATGGTGGCACGCGCCTGTAATCCCAGCTACTGGGGAGGCTGAGGCAGGAGAATTGCTTGAACCCAGGAGGCAGAGGTTGCAGTGAGTCAATATTGTGCTACTGTACTCCAGCCTGGGCGACAAGAGTGAGACTCTGTCTAAAAAAAAATTAACAAAGCAGACATGAGTCTTATGGAATTAAATCTACCATAGCAGTTCCATAGCTCTTACCTAAGGTCAATTCTAATCAATCTGATTTACAACCACACAAAAACACTCAATTTACCTTAATAAAGACATATACATAATTTAAACCTCACTTTATTCAATATTGGAACAGACTTCATTTTTGACAGCAAGTTTATTCCAACAAATTCCACTTAGGCTAATTACATCAGTTCACATTTCAAGACCACAACACTGGATGATGGTAGCGGCAACAAAAAATATGTAAGGAAGTTAATAAAAGATGGTTTAGAATGAAATAATTCTCTGAATTATCCACAAGAAGGGAATTACGCAAGAAGAATGATTTTCAAACTGATTTCCACAGACTCTATGGTATTCAGAACATGGTGATCCTGTGGTCCAAACCCCCCTCCAACACCTTTTATCTATTTCACATATTGAACTTTCCCACAGGCTCCATTTGGACAAAGGTTCCACAGCTAAAAAGCTTGAAAACAAGCTTTAAAATTAATTCTATGAAATGAAGATTTCTTTCCAATTCCTTCAACGAATCTTTTAAATGGTGTTAGAAAAGTGAGCAAGGTCAGCCTATTTTCCCAATAAGATGATCTCAACCATTACCCAAGTCTGATACTGAGTAACCTCAACCAGCATTGCTATGCTACAGGATCGTAACTTTCATGTCTATCCTGATCCATCCTTCTAACACTGGCTATTACTGAAAAAGGATACAACAAGAAAACACAAACTTTATTAACACCAGTGTTAGAAAAACAACTCAAAATACGCAATCTAATGGTAAATTAGTAATATCATATGTAAATATCAGCACATACTAAAATAAAAAACACATCTACCAAAGAATAAAGTGCAGGTGACCATGTCTTCATACTTTTATATCGCAAATTTTGTCCTAATTTTACACACAGGAAACCAAGGTATAAACTTAAAATTCTATTTTAAGTAATAAAGGAAATCAGGTCCATAAACATACTGATACATACTTTCTCCAATTTTTCCCCAATAGATAAACCAACCATCCTAATCTTATCCTTAAGTACATATACTTAAAGATAATACCGGTAATCTAGAAGACTCATACAAAGCATTAAAAAAATGCTGAACATTTATGCACTCTAATAGAGAATGACAAGGCCTTGGAATCTGGGAAATACTCTTCTTTCACTGTTAATCCCTGGTTTTAGAATTTGATTTCCCTAAAGCAATCTCTCACATGAGACAATACCTCCATGTTCAGCAAATTTTGGGTTCGACAGAATCATCTTGCAAAACTTGAGGCCATTTTTGTACTGCTTCTGTTCATAACATTTCTGTAAAGAAATATGAACAAAAGTTATTTTATCAAATGAATACACAACGGGTATCATATATTCTTTTCACGGCATCATATATTCTAAATTCGAGATCCAAAATTAGGTCTAAAACGTGATGGAAAGGATATCACTTACAAACATGTAGTGTACTTTTGTTACCTATTCTTGTCAAATTGTTCTAAAATCTACATATTTTCATTTTTATAAAAGACCATGAAAAAAAAGACATTTAAAAAACAGGAAATTTGGCCGAGCAAGGTGGCTCACACCTGTAATCCCAGCACTTTGGGAGGCCACAGTGGGTGGATCGCTTGAGCGCGGGAGTTCGAGACCAACCTGGCCAACATGGTGAAACCTTGTCTCTACTAAAAATACAAAAATCAGCTGGGCATGGTGGCATGCACCTGTAATCCCAGCTACTCAGGAGGCTGAGGCAGTAGAATTGCTTGCACATGGGAGGCAGAGGTTGCAGTGAGCAGAGATCACACCACTGCACTCCAGCCTGGGCAACACTGCAAGACTCTGTCTCAAAAAAAAAAAAATTACAAAAATTAGCCAGATGTGGTGGTGCATGCCTGCAATCCCAGCTACTTGGGTGGCTGAGGCAGGAGAATTGCTTGAATTCAGAAGCTGGAGGCTGCAGTGAGCCTAGATCATGCCATTGCACTCCAGCCTGGGCAACTGAGTGAGACCCTGTCTCAAAACAACCAGAAAAAAATGGCAATTCAATCAACACTGCCACAGAATTTTTTAAATTTTGTTTCCCTTTCTTAGTACACAGAATTTTTGAATTCAAAATAATTCCAATGCTTTGGGAGGCCAAGGCAAGAGGACTGCTTGAGCCCAGGAGTTCAACACCAGCCTGGGGAACAAAGCAAGACCTCATCTCTACAAACAAATTAAAAATTACTCAGGCGTGGTGGTGCACATCTGTGGTCCTACTACTTGGGAGGCTGAGATGGGAGGATCACTTGAGCCCACGAGGTTGAGGCTGCAGTAAGGCATGATTGTGCCACTGCACTTAGCCTGGACAGTAGAGCAAGACACTGTCTCAAAAAAAAATTTAAGCAAAAACATGTGGCAACAGAAAAATACCAGAAACTGCACTAAAAGCCTCTGCTACTGCAAGAATGAAACCAAAGTGCATGTATAGGTGCATGCACACACAAATACTACCACTTATTGAGCAGCTATTATATGTCTGTATAAAATTTGTAATCTCTTAATACCAATTATTTAAGGTAGGTGTCATTACTTCCACTTCAGAGATGTGGAAACTGAAACTCCAGAGTTCAAAAACTTGTTTATAAGCGGCTCAGCTGCAAACTCTGGTCTTACTCCAAAGACCATCATTAGTCCAATGCAAGCATAAGCAACATCTTTATTCCTGAATGCCACCAGCCAGGGTACGCAATTAACATCTCTCCCTGGCAGTCACTGATGCGGACAACACCCCATTGCTTTCTACTCTTCCCTGGCTTAAGTTGTTCAGTCACACTGGGTGTTACGTTACTCAACATGCCAAGCTTATCCCCACCTCAGGCCTCCTATACTTGTGGTTCCTTACACCTGAAATGCTTTCCTAGATCTTCCCATGGATGGTTCCTCATTATCATCTAAGTCTCACATGTCCCCTACTTGCCCACTTTATCAAATACTCCCATCCTTCCTTCCTTCCCCAACATACTCTCTACCATATTACTCTATTTTCCACACAGTGCTATCATTTCCTGAAATCTTATTTTGCTATTATCTAGTGTCTGTCTTCCCCACCATCATATAATGGATCCTTAGAACAATGATCTCACCTATCTTTATTTTTTAGAGACAGTCTCGCTCTGTTGCTCAGGCTGGTGTGCAGAGACACAATCACCATAACCTCAAACTGCGAGCTCAAGTGATCCTCTCACCTCAGCCTCCTGAGTGGGTAGGAAGGACTACAGGTATGTGCCATCATGCCTGGCTAAATTTTTTTTTTTTTTCCTTGGTAGAGATGAAGTCTCGCTATGTTGTTACATTGTTCTTTTGTTCCTGGGCTCAAGTGATCCTAGCTCTCACCTCAGCCTCCCAAAGTGCTGGGATTACAGGCGTGAGCCACTGCGCCAGCCTCAGCCTATTTTAAGTACTGCTGCACTGCCATGGCTAAACAAATAAGAAACTGCTCCATAAATACAGCCTACTAAGTTCAAAGCAAAATGCCACTAGCAATAGATGAGACCGTCATTAAGCCCTGCAGCAGGGGCTGGATGTGGAAGGAATTAGGAAAGTCTTCACAGAAAAAAAGTTTATATTGAGGCCTCTTGACAGCCTCTGGGGAAGGGAACTAGGTGGTTCTGGGATAAGGATAGGAGAGAAACCTAAATTTTGAATGATGTGAATATACTACCTATTCCAAAAATATTTTAAAATAAAAAATAACAATCTGAGTTTGACTACAAGAGTCTGTCTCACACATACAAGAAAAAAACAAGTGGAAGGAACTACTGAGAAAGACAAAGAGAAATACTAGTTTTTCTGACTTACCAAGTGATCTGAAAATAATAATCATACTGCCAATAACAGTAATAATAGTTAACACCTACTGGAAGCATTTACTATACGTCCAGACACTGTTCTTATTTTTTTCCTTCACCCCATGACAGCTTATTTACTCTTTATTTAAATCCCAGGAAAGCCTATGAGATGCATGATATCCCCATTTAGATAGAGAAACTGATGCACAGTTACAGAGTTTATATAACTATTAAGTGCCAGAGTCACAACTCTTAACCAGGTAGTCTGGTCCCAGAGTCCAAGCACTCAGGTAAAGAAGACAAGTCTACCTGTAATCTCAGCTACTCAGGAGGCTGAGACATGAGAATCGCTTGAATCTGGGAGGCAGAGGTTGCAGTGAGCTGAGATCTTGCCACTGCACTCCAGCCTGAGCGACAGAGCGATACGCTCTTGCAAAACAAAAAAAAAGACAAATCTACATTCACTCAGCAACCATTATATAGTAAATAGAAACGATAGATTCTAGTCTCAATTTTGCTAATACTCAGACAGAGAACCTTAGCCCCTTGGTCATTTACCATCCTTAGGTTTGTCTCTTCCTAAAACAGGGCATGGAATAGCTCCAAAATACAACGAACTGCAATGCTAATCAATATCCAGTCTGGGGAATAAGACATACAGATATAAGCCACGTGGAACATGTTAAAAACCAGCTGGTCAGTCTGTGTGGATGTGTTTAAGTTTTTTCAATAGAAAACTTTTACTGTTGGTAGCAAAGCACTTTAACCCACTAAACTTTAAAGATAATTTTATTATAGAGACTTCCGTTTGCTATGGAATTTGTTGTAGCCAAATTTTACCCACATTTATTGCAATTGTGAAATGATAAAATCACCCACTTATGCAGAATCCTCCTAAATTCATGCAATCTTGTCAGAAACATTACATACTTAGATTTAAAAATGTTTAGCTTGGCTGGGCACAGTAGCTCACATCTGTAATCTCAGCAATTTGGGAGGCTGAGGTGGGATGATCACTTGAAGCTAGGAGTTCGACAGTAGCCTGGCCAACAAGAGACTTCCATCTCAAAATAATTGATTTTTTTTTAGTGGTTACCATTTCCCAATTTATCTGGGGATAAACTTTACCTTTTTTGTATTTGAGAATAACAAGTAATGTAACGTTTTCCTTATGACACTGATCCATGATTTGAACTACAAAAAATTCATATAGAGAGAAAAGAAGTGCTGTCATCTTTAAAGTATGATGCCAAATGTCCTGAAATCCAACTAGCGATTTATAAATGATATTCTCATTAATGTTTCAGATTCCCGAGGCAAAAAAAAATTAAAAATAAAAATAAATAAGTTACTTCTCCAATTCCATGCTGTGTAAAATAGAAGGGCATGAGAAAAAGTAAAATTAAAAACTACAAAGCCCAATGAAGCAACGTGCCACATGCTTTAATTACTCATATTTTTAATGTTCTCACACTTGTCTCTTATTGGTTCAAAACTAAGCACCACATAATATTTAAAATTTTTATCCCTAACTATGTATCTTAACATTCTGAAGACTAAGTGTAAAGTTTCTATCGGCTTGAAACAGAACAGCTACTATGAATCATCTGCCGCTGTTAATACTTAATATTACTCTAAAATCAGTATTTTACTTATAGTAAAGTTAAGCAACAACTAACAGCCATATAGCCAACCCAGCTTTCAATAAATTCGCCTTTAAACCTAAATGCATGTTTAGCAAATAAAAGCTTTTCTTCCGGTGAAAAGATAAACTAGAAAAGACAGTTACCTACTAATAATATTAGTTTAAAACCTAGGGTAGCCAGAGGATACTGAGGAAAGCAAAGGCATGCTGCCTCTTCTTGGAAGAACAGAACCTGGAAAGCCACCAGGGACGCTGGCACACAGCCCACAGAAAACTGCCCACCCGGCTCCGCAGCGGTCATCACTCTGGGGCCATTATTCAGGGTTCTGCTCCGCAATAAAATAAAAACGCTCCCCTTAAATGCAAAACCAGCCAGTCCACGCGGCTTTAATTACTCAAGCAAGGCCTGTGCGACTAGAAAGGAAAGAGCTGTGTTGAAGTTGGTGACAACTCAGTAAAGCACTTCAAGTCAACTATTCACTTCCAAAGAGGTACATTATAAACAGGCAAACTTTTTTCCCAACGAGAGGTGGTGCCAAGCTTGGCTTCCTAGAGTTGCCGGTTTTATTTCCTCGTAACCAGGAAAAATTCCACCATCGCATCGATCCCGCTTTAACAGGTATGCGGGTGCGCCGTGCAATCCAATTAAACGCAAAACAGAGAATGCAGAACGCAAAACACCTCACCGAGGGGAGACTGGCAAAATAAACCAACCAGGGAGGATCCCTGAGGGACTGCTGCGAGCCCGGCGTGGCAGAGCGCACGGCAGCCACTACCAGGCGAGGAGGCTGTGCCCAGGCACTGCGGAGGGCGGCGTGAAGTTTCTGGAAAGAGCGCGG